GTCATTCCGTGTAAGTGTAAGTCACACACAGTGTCACTAAGTCATTCTATGTAAGTCACACACAGTGTCACTAAGTCATTCCATGTTAGTGTAAGTCACACACAGTGTCAGTAAGTCATTCCATGTTAGTGTAAGTCACACACAGTGTCAGGAAGTCATTCCACATTAGTGTAAGTCATTCTGTGTAAGTGTAAGTCACACACAGTGTCAGGAAGTCATTCCACATTAGTGTAAATCATTCCGTGTTAGTGTAAGCCACACACAGTGTCAGGAAGTCATTCCATGTTAGTGTAAGTCACACACAGTGTCACTAAGTCATTCCGTGTAAGTGTAAGCCACACACAGTGTTAGGAAGTTATTCCATGTAAGTGTAAGTGACACACAGTAACTAAGTCAAAATTGTCATTCAGGGAACAGACAGAACAGAGATCACACTGAGTAAAGCCAGCATGATACAGAAAGACAGAGTATCACAGTTTCACTCATATGCAAACATCTCCTTTTTTTAAGAATTGGTCTGGACATGGTGGCACTTGCCTTTAATTCCAGTACTCAGGGGCAGAGGCAGAAGCAGGGAGATCTCTGTGAGTCTGGTCTACACAGAAAGTTCCAGGCTAGCCAGAGCTCTATAGAGAAACACTGAGTCAAAATAAAATAATACAAATTAAAACGAGGAGTTGGACCAGTGACTAAAGTGTGAGGACCAGAGTTTGGATTCACAGACCCCACACTCAAAGCTGGTGGGGCTAGAGATGTGACTCTGAGGTTCAGAGCACTGGCTGCTCTTCCAGGGGACTCGGGATTGATTCTTAGCACCCATGCGGCAGCTCAGATCATCTGTAACTCCAGTCCCTGGAGATGTGATGCCCTCTTCCGCCTCTGTGCACCAGGCATGCACATATGTTGCAGCCCGCATTAGAGGGACAATTAAACAGCTTTAGAACTCATGAAATGCGGCCCACCAGTTAGTGCACCCACAATGCATGTGCCGAGAGGCAGAGCCCTGAGGACTACTATCCTGAGGACTTCACGCTGTTGTAGGGTGTCACTCTGCTCGCTGCCCTCACAACACTTCCCTCATAGCCTAGGAGTTGTGTGAAAACTCTAAGGGGCTTCCAGCCCCTCCCTGGGCAGTACCCTTGGCACTCACAGTAGTGCCTGATCTTTTCACGCACTGCTGCTGGGCGGACTCATGATTCCCTCACCAGGCTTGGGAAGAGCTTAGAGATGTAGTTGTCGCAACGACCACCACCCTTAGGAAAAATCTGGAGAAGTAGATTGTTAGTGAAGCCAGGTTAACATGAGTTTTGTTAGTGGCTCTGATGGAGAAAATCTTAGGGAACAATCTGAAGTTCAGAAAGGCACACTCTCGATAGTTGAGCTAGGACTTTTTGTGGTCAGGGGACAAGAGCAATGGCGGCGGGGCAGCACTAGCTGGTGTGTGTCTCTTGCTAATGCTGGGCCGGCGATCAGAGTGATGATGACTGCTGGGATATTGAAGCTGCGGGAGAAAAAGTCAAGTTATTGGAGCCCTGCTCCATCTATCCACAGAATGCATGTATGTGCATGTATGTAAAATGGCTGGAGCTTTGTTCCATCCACTCAGTGTAAATGTATGAATGGATGTATGTAGCTATGCATGTATGTGTGTGAAGTTGCTGGAGCTTGTCTTGCTTCATCCACTGTGTGTGCATGTGTGCGTGTGTGCGTGCATGCACACGCCTGCTTTACATCATCACCAACCCCACATCCTCCCCCTTGGATCACTGAACATACTGTCAGAGCTAGTCTTCAACACACTTGGTATGTAGGCACACACAGACAAAATACATAGACATACACGTACAAAATGATTTCTAACAAGTAAAAAGGCTGGAGGGTACTGCAGCCCACCTACAGTCTCTCACAAGGGAGATGGAGACAGGGAAGCCTAGCAGCAAGCTCGCCAGCCTGACTAGCTGGCACTGTGAACGCCAGGATCAGTGACCCCCTGCCTTAGTAAAGTGGACAGTGACCAAGGAAGACACCCTATGTCAACCTCAGGCATCTACACGTGCACACACGCATGTACACACGTGTGGGCACACACATGCACCACATAAAGAAGATGTTAGAAGGGCAGAAGAACGACTTGGGAGGGAAGGGGAGCAGTGTGGTGGACTGAATGAGAATGGCCTCACAGGCTCAGAGCGGAATGCTTAGCTAATCAGGGAGTCGCACTGTTGGAAAGGATTAGAAGGATTGGGAGGTGTGGCCTCCCAGTGAGGGTGGGCTTTGAGGTTTCAAAAGCCCAAGCCAGGCTTAGTCTCTGTCTCTCTCTGCCTGCTGCCTGTGAAATAGGATATAAAACTCCCAAGCTACTTCACCAGTACATGTCTGCTTGTGTGCCACCATGCTCTCCCCACTAAGCCTCTGAAACTGTAAGCAAGCATCTAGTTAAATGGTCATAGTCTCTCTTCACAGCAATAGACCAGTGACTAAAGACACCCAGTAAGAGGGAAGGGGACAGGGCCAGAGAAGGTCATATTTGGTAAATATGGTTGGTGTATATTATATGCTGAATGAAAATTTCACAATGAAACCCATTATTTAGTACAGTCTATATATTCCAATAAAAGAACAGAAACAGGAGCCTGAGGCTCTGCTTGTCAAAGAGGTATGGAGGAAAGATCAACCAATCACTAACAGGTACCAGTGGTTATTAGGAACAGTATTGAGACTCCATTTTTGCTGGAAAGAAAACATCAGGGCTTCTTGGAGAAGCAGGTGAGCCTAGATCTGAAGAAGAAAACTTTTGGCTGAGTCTTGAGCTGCCCCCCAGACACTGAAGGAGCAGCCAGTATCCCAGGGGTCACGTTTAAGAGACTGGAGTCGGCCTGAAAAGCAGCCTGCTGCCTATAGTGGGCAACTCATGCTCGGGAAGGGTCACTGCCTGTCACAGGTTAGCTTTAGTGTGGTGAATCGTGAGTCCACAGTGTTATGAAGAACACAACCACTCCATATCAGAACTTTCTCTGAGCATCTGAATGGCAGAGATGACAGAGGGGACCCATGTGCACAGGCTGACGAGGACTGCTGTAAGATACTTGTTGACATGGCCTTATCTATAACACCCGAATGCACCATTAGAATGGCTACATTAGAATGTGTTCTGGCCCACATTTTGACTTTTTATCAACATCCCTGGCAACAACCAAATTTCTAATGTCACCAGGATCCTGTGGCCAATGCCTGGGTCTGCAGACATTACCTCGAGAACCCATGGGTTCCTTACTCTACCAGGAAGGCTTTGCAAGAGCTCTCCAGGGTATGCACTGACTGGCCATAGGTCACCCAGCAGAAGAGCCTGTGTCATCTGGCTGGCTCCTTTTCATCAGTGAAGCAAAGGGTGGTCTCTAAAAAGGGTAGAGAGGCTACAGAGATGGTTCAGTGGTCATGAGTGTTGATGATTACAATTCCCAGCACACACATGGCAGCTAAGAACTGTAACTCCAGTTCCTAGAGGACGTGACATCCTCAACTGGCTTCCTGGGCACTGCACCAATGTGACGCACCGGTGTCTGTGGCTCCTGAAGCACTCATTCTCACGTAAGAGGTGCTATGATCTCAGAGGGGAAAGGGCACTTCATAGGTGGTCTAGCCTGTTTGAGCCGTGGCCCAAAACACCAGCATTAAAACATCAACACCAGAGAAAAGAAACAAGAGGCAGAGAGCAACCCCAAGGGACTGCTTTAGTAAGTGGGGAAGAGAAGGATGCTTGGTTGTACTCTCTGGTGTTGTACTCTTGCTGACTCTCCGGCCCTGTACCAGGCTGGAGAAGAAGGAAGGGGAAGATGACAAAGTCAACAGGGGGGTATAGAGTTGATATTACGTGTAGGAAGAAATGAGCCAGAAATAAGCCACTACTCACACAAAACTAAAGAAACCCCCCAAATCAATCAAACCCTCTGAAAGTTTCTCTGATGTGTCCCTATGTAGTAAAGCACAGCTGGAACTGTACAGCCCCTCGAGTGGCTGTGACACAGCTCGGTGTACGGCAGAGCTGTTCCAAGACGTTGGGGGAGAAACCGCCATGCGGAGAACAAGTCCCAAACACTCACACTGTCAACTCTGATCGACAGCATGAAACCCAAACTAGTTCATAATTTAAGTATTTGAATTTCGAAGCCAAAAGATATTATCAATTGGTATTTCCAGTTACATGGAGAATAAGTAAAAGAAACCAAAACCGAGACCACGCATGTCCACCACAGCTGTGTGTGCTGGAACCACACTGACTCTGTCCTCGTAAGACATAACTCAGATCTGGTGCCCTGAAACCAGAACCCGGGGGTTGTACTCACCTAAGCCCTTCTGCCCAGGGTTCTTAGCGAAGGTGAAGGTAAACTGGTAGAAGTCCTTGAACTTCGCTGAGTCCTTTAGCTCTTGTTCCAGTTTGGGAAGAAGAGCTTTCAGCCTCTCTGTGCTGTCGCACCTGCGACAAGAGAAGGACTTGTTACCCGTGATCTGCCTTCCTACCACCCCCTTTTCATAGGGCCTCCTCACTGGTGAAAGTTCAGTTTGAAGTAGGCACGTGTTATAAAACCTGGCCTGTTTTATTTTGTTTTTTTGAACTGCAGTCTCTCTATGAACTTGTGGCTGCTCTGGAACTGTGTAGCCCAGGCTAGCTATGAACTCAGAAAGATCCACCTGGCTGCGCATTCTAAGCACTGGGGTTAAAGGTATGTCCAGGCTATATTGTTTTAAAAATAGATTTTCTTCCAAAAAGGCAATCACCTTTAAAAACAGTAATCAGCCTGGACTGGGTGTGGCTCAGTAGTGTTTACCTACATACGTAGGCCCTGGACTCCATTCCCAGCTCTGTAGGCCAAGACAAAAAGCTCCCCTACCAAAAAACAAAAAAAAAAAAAAACAAAACCCAAAACACCTCAGTAAAAACTATTAGTTGTTCTTTCAGACAAAAATGTGAGAAAGTGAAAATGAAATCAGTCTCTTCTGGTTAACTGTCCAACAGGGAACAGAGAAGAACAGTTTGTAAGCACTGTCCAAGAGAAGTCACACTAAAGAGACCAGAGCAACTGGAGAAAGACTGCCTGCCACACCTGTCCTTACGGACTGTGGAAAGGATGTGGCACAGACGCAGCCAACAGCTGGAGACCAGGTACCACCCACATCCCGGGTAACACCTGGGTGGTAGGCACCAGGCCCACTGAGGTCCAGAGAGGCAGACCCAGCTCCACTGATTGTCTGTCTGCCTGCCTGCCTGCCTGCCTGCCTGCCTGTCTGTCTGTCCCTGATGGCATTCCTGCATCTGAGCTTGATATAAATGTGAACTCATACTGTTTTGTGCCTGGTCTTTGGGTCTTCATTACGTGTGTGAGGGTCATCCTGTAGTATGTGCAGATACAACTCAGTCAGTACTTTTACCACAGGGGCCTTTCATACACATGCACACACTCACACACATGCACGCACACACACACACACACAATTTATAAATCATTTATAGGACATACTGATGGCAAGTATGTTGGCTGTCTAGTTTTCTCATCACAAGCAACGCTGTTAGCATTTCTACGCACCTGGCCTGAGCACACAGGAACATAAGTCTAGGTAGGCAAGTGTTGCTGGGAGCAGCAGCTCTTGGGATGTGATAACTGTGTGACCACACACCATGGCTCCCCAGGGCTATCCCAATGCTTGCTGCTCTGACTTATGACAGCCTCAAGGTTCTGAATCACTGTGCATCTCACCCAAGCTTTCGTGAAGAGCAAGCCCTCATTAGTGGTACTTCACATCTCTTGTTTACTTTCCAATGATGTTTTCATCGTTTGCTGAGTTCTTTAAGAGGTAAGTATAAGTAAGCCCAGCTAGCTTATATCTCATCTAGAATGGACCTGTCTTTCTACTTTATGTTTTGTATGATTGTCCTGGTTGTTTTTGTGTGTCAACTTGAGACAAGCTGGAGTTATCACAGAGAAAGGAGCCTCCCTTGAGGAAATGCCTCCATGAGATCCAGCTGTAAGGCATTTTCTCAATTAGTGATCAAGGGTGGGAGGGTCCATAGTGGTTGGGCCATCCCTGGGCTGGTAGTCTTGGGTTTTATAAGAAAGCAAGCTGAGCAAGCCAGGGGAAGCAAGCCAGTAAGTAACACCCCTCCATGGCCTCTGCATCAGCTACTGTCACAAAGTCACCACAGTTTCCTGATTACCTCCCGTGTCAGTTTTCAGTAAGCTGTATTTAAAAAACCATTTCTTTATTCACAAAGGTTATCAGGTTTACTGGCATAGCTTTGTGTGGAATAACTCACTGTGTAGTTCTACAGTGATGTCCGCCACTCCTGATGTTATTTGACTTTATGTCTCTAAAGTGACAAGCGCCTGCTTTTGCTGACTCTACCAGCTTTCCCTTTTAATAGCTTCTGTTAAATTATTGAGGCTTGTTTGGTTGTTGTTTGTTTTTTTGAGACAAGGTCTCACTGTGCAGCCCTGGCTATCCTGTAACCCACCTGTATAGACCAGGCTGGCCTCAAACTCAGAGATATGCTTGCCTCTGCCTCCCTAGTGCTGGGATTAAAGGTGTGCCTGACTTAATTTTGATGTTAACACAAGCTAAAGGGTATCTGAGAGGAGGGAACCCCCACTGAGCAAATGGCTGTAAGGTCATAGCCTGCAGGGTGCTTTGTCTTAGTTAGAGACTGACTTTACAGGTTTTCAGCTTTCCAGCAACTCTAAACAATTGATCCTAGAGCATCAACAGAGAAAGTGAGTGCTAGAGCTATCAGCAAGGGGAGCAAGTTGATACTGCCCCACAGAGCAGACCAGTAAGGTTAGCAATTAGAAGCTATTTGTGTTGGGGATTTTCATTTACTTCTCTGTCACATCTGTTAAATGAGCAACATCTTAAGTCATTAATCCCAACTCTGTAGGTAAAAGAGAACCAAAATACTGGTATTTAATGCAGCAACATGATACATTATACACTTGGTATAAAGTAATGTGTGGTTAAAAACTTTACCCTCCCATTCACTGTTAATTCTAACTTGAAGGAGATCTGTTTACAAATGTTAAGCTTTATTTTTGCTAATTTAAGTTAGATGCATGCATGTGTGTGTGCATGCATACACATGTGTCTATGCATGTGCATGCAGACACCTGAGGAGGCCAAAGGAGTCGGATCCCCTGGAGCTGCAGTGTCGAGCAGCAGCTGGGAACAGCCTGTCTTGGGTGTTGAGAATTGAACTATGGCCCTCTGCAAGAGCACTGCAGATTTCTAACCCCTGAACCATCTCCTCTGCCCCACTCGAAGGAATGTTTTAAATTTATAGAAAAGAAAGAATTAATGTGAATAAAGGTGTAGCTAAAACCCCAAGTACGAAAGGAAGGCAAAGCATTTAATACACACATATGAAATTACTATTTGTAAGTAGTTGAGAAAAATGGTCCATTTTTCCTCCTGAAGGGTTTAAGTTGAGAATAATCCGCTTACCCCAGCTCTGTCATGCCATCCACAAACTCTTTCTTGCTAAATTCACACTGAGTGGCGGCCCTGAACTTCCATGCTATGACCAAAACGCTGATACTGGCGGGGTCCAGACTCAGGTCATCACAGAACTGCTGAATCCCATCGACTCCGATTTTGTTCTCGTCCTGTGGGTCTGCCGTGAAGATTGAGGGGGAGGGGAGAATGTCACACTACACTGAAAAGCAATCCTAAGACACCTTGTGAGAATCACACTACTCTTATACAGGCCTATCAAGTATTTCAGCCTCACCAATCAAGGAACAACCATTCTGTCAAGTATGGTTCTGTTAAGTATGAAACAGATATAGAACATTACGAATCTATTCAGAAAATAGTTCTGTCCTTAAAATCTCGGTTTCTGGATTTTAGGGAAAGAATAACCATGGAAACTCTTGTGAAGGGATGTTGCCATCAAGAGTTAAGGGCCGAGTGCACACGCTTGGCGGACGGAGGAGGGCGTCGTGGTGTGCTTCAGGCCCTGGGTTCTAGCATCAACACCAGAAGTAAAACCAAAGCCAAGACTGTGGTTACTTTCTAGCTGAGGATGAGTAACAGAAGGCTTGCCTCACACACACACAGATGTGGGCTTATCTAGAGCTCTGATGCAGGACAGCAGTACAAAGGAAAGAAAGAGCTCTTACAGTTCTGCCGAAGCAAAAGCGATTGGCTGCTTTCTTTTTAAGTAACTTCACTAGCCAGCTCTAATACTGTGGGACAATAATTATCTTTGTTTGTTTGTTTGTTTTTGTTTTTTTTCAAGACAGGGTTTCTCTGTGTAGCCCTGGCTGTCCTGGAACTCACTCTATAGACCAGGCTGGCCTCAAACTCGGAAATCCACCTGCCTCTGCCTCCCAAGTGCTGGGATTAAAGGCGTGTGCCACCAACGACCGGCAATAATTATCTTTCAAATTCAGTGAGTTTAAGCACACACATGTAACAGCTTAGATTCATGCTCCCTACCTCAGACATCTAGTTTAGAAATAAAAAGAACTCAGAATCTGTCCATCGAAAAATAAAATAATAAAGTGTATTAAAGACATTTCTGCAAAATCTCGAAAAACTAGATCTTAGGCTGGAGAGATGGCTCAGTGGTTAAGAGCACTGACTGCTCTTCCAGAGGTCCTGAGGTCAATTCCCAGCCACCACATGGTGGCTCACAACCATCTGTAATGGGATCTGGATGACCTCTTCTGGTGTGTCTGAAGACAGCTACAGTGTACTTATGTACATAAAATAAATACATCTTAAAAAAGAAAACCAACAACTAGATCTTGTCATGTATCACAATACATCGCCATGGTACATGTGTGAATTCCACTGGCTCAAAGATACAAATGTAAACACCTGGAGTGCCTTTGCTCGAATAGTGATTTCCTTACATGGAAAACTTACCTTTGGCTATTAAAGTATTAGACACAACACTATTCTCATATATGACGGTGGAAATGTGTGCTGTCTATGTGGTGCATGTGTGTGGATGCACATGGCCGTATGTGCCATGCACAGGGGCTACAAGTCAACCTCAAGTATTTTCCCTATTTCTCTCCATGTTATTTTAAAGTTGGTTTTTTTTTTTTTTATGTGTATGAACGCTTTGCCTATATGTATTAAACCACAAGCATGCCTGTTGGCAGTAGGAGCCAGTTCCTCTGGAACTGAAGTTACAAAGGGTGGTGAGCCACCACACAGATGCTGGGAACCAAATCTGGTCTTCGTAGAACAGCAAATGTTCTTCTGTGGCGAGCCATTTTTCCGACCTCACCATCTTATTTTTCGAGACAGGATCTCTCATTGAATGTGGAGCTGGGTGCTTTGGCTATGCTGGCTGGCCAGTGACCCCTGGAATCCATCAGTGTCTACTCTCCTAGGAGTGGAGTTGCTGGTGCGTGTCCACAGTTGGTTTTTCGGTGGGTACTGGGATCTGAACTCAGGTCTGCATGCTTGTACTGCAGGTACTTTACTCACTGAGCCATCTCCTCAGCCTGACTACTCTACTGTAAACAATGCATGTGTTTTATGAGATAGGGTTTTGCTAGGTATCCCAGGTTGGCCTTGAGTTTGCAGTAATTCTCCTACCTCAGCTCCCAAAAAGCTGGGATTATCGCTACATGCCACGGTGCCCAGAAAAGAAAAACCAGTGACACAAACGAAACAGAGAAAGCAGACATCTCTCTAACTGTGTCGTACCTGAGACGCCACCACGCCTGTGGGACAAAGGCTCTGTTAAGGGCATATTAACAGGTACCGCATACACGGCTCAAACGGTAGCCTGCAAAGCAGTTCCCTCAGGATGGCTCTCACTTCGTGGGGAGACAGGGTGACAGCTTGCTTGCTTGTTGTCAGTCTTCCAATTCCTCCCTCATCTCCAGCCTTTCTGCTACAGGGTGATTCTCCAACTAAACCCACCAGGGGGAGGGCGGTCTGGAACTCTTGGCCCCAACCCTGCCGGCGCCAGCTAAGTCAGCACTCTCCTGCCGTTCCACCCCTTACCTTTGTACCTTCCGTACAGCTGCTCCAGCTTCTTCAGGTCCACACTGCTCTTCATAGACTCTCGGTGGAACGCCTCCGGGTTTTGGAAGAAACTGTCTGTGGCCTCATCTAGTTTCCACTCATTCTGGGTCAGGCAGTAGATGGCAGTCCTCTCACTAGCCTGAGTGCATGCCATGAACTGGCGGACCTTGTCCTTCTGAGCTGATTTAAGTTTATGCTTTGGGAGGGAAAAATAAAAGTGAGAAAGCCAATGAAGCCATATCTGTTCAGCCCATTCTTAACATCTACGTTTTTATTCGATTTGTGTTTCCGGTTGGGTGACTCAACTTTCCAAACATTAACAAGCAAAGTCCCGTGCAGTCTTCTGAAAATGGCAATGACAGCATCTGTACAGTAACATATAAGAGTTTAATCTCCAAAACTAGTGAAAAATCAACATCTTATAGAAAAGATACTGAGGCTGGGAGGGGTGCTGCCAGAGCCAGCCTCTACACAATGAATTCTAAGTTAGCCAGGGATATACTGGGAGACCTTGTTTATAAATAAATAAGTAAATTGGCAGCCAGCCACAATTAGTCTAGCACATGGAGGCAGAGACGTGGGTCTGGAGAGGTCAGTCTGATCTACAAAAAGAGTTCTAGGCCAGCCAAGACTACAGAGTGGGCCCGTCTTTAAAAAAAGCAAGAAAGGAAACACATTTTTAAATCTACTCAGGCCCCTTTATATACAATATAGTTTTCCCCTTTAAAATGTTAGCATGATGTCTCAGTGATATACACCTGGACTTCTGTCACCACAGGCCCTGATGCCGTCAGGGGGGCCACCTCCAGAGCCAGGAAGTTTCCATTACGTTCAGGCTCTAATCAATAAGGAGGAAATGGATAGTTTGGAAGCACTATTGTTGGAGAGGTGTTCCTAGTTTAAAAGCAGAACTGTGCTGATGGAAACACAAAGTATCTGAGAATTACACTGGAGTCAGTAACTAAAGTGCCACGAGCAAGCTTGACAAAGGTGCTATGACAAACTGAAAATAAAAAAGATGAGTTTGAGACGAGGGGCAGGCTGTGTGAGGGGCAGGCTGTGTGAGGGGCAGGCTGTG